GTAAAATAAAAATATGTTTGTTTAGTTATTGAATGGAAGATGATTTCATATCAGCATGCAGAGCTGTATGCTGATGTGATTTTTAGTCAAAGGGGGTGAAGGTCCGCTTTAAAACCCTTATCGGGTTATCTTTTGCTGCCTAGCCCTCCTGGGAAATTTTCATTTATTTCCTTTACTGGGGCCCAACAAGAAATGAGAACAAATCTCTTCAACATGAACAGACTTCCTATCTTAGAGAGTTGCCGTAAGAACAGGAGTCCTAATTGGAGGCTTATCCCTTACTTCTTGCTCTGGTGAGTGGTCTAAGATTTTGGATTTCTCATCACTTTCTGCCTTTGTGGCACACCGGTCACGAGCGCAAATAAAAGGATGAATCTCCCCAGCAGGAACACAGATCGCATTAAAAATGTGGTGTTTTAACCCCTTCTCACTCTTTCCCCAGTCTTTTAAACTGGCCATATACTTGGTTTTCCGTTATAACCACTTTCCATCCACTGGAAATCTCCGAGATGACTGCTATTGGTTGGGCTAAACAGTCTATCACCCAAGAATTTGATCTCTCACTAGAATTCAGACGATTATGATGTTGGAATTGGGTAGTAACTTCATAGCTTTGATAGTTTTTTAAATGAACACATTGAAAGCTGAAAAATATGGTAATTTTCAAAGCATTTTGTTGCAATCTCATTTCCTTGTGCTCGATCAAAACCACCATTTTATGTCTTGAAGGAGAACTATGACCTTTGACAATGAAACTGTCACAGGTCGGCTCAATAGATCGGGAAGTGAGCGAACGCATACCGTCGCTTGCTCACTTCTCGATCCTGTCCCTGCAGAGAGCTGTGACTGTCACGGCTCCCTGCAGGGATTCCCCGCTCCTCTAGTGCTGACTGGCGCAACGGTAGGGGACGGGCACAGCTGGCTCTGCCTCTAGATAGGCAGAGCCAGCTCTCAATCCCACAGCTGGGTGGATCTGGACAGTAATGTCGGGATCCGTCCCGGCTGCGGCGTCTCAGTATACCACGAGCTGTAGCTTGCGGTATACTGAGCTTTGGGTGACGGGATGACGCTAGTTTGTGTCCCACCGTTACCTTTAGGAGAACTATGGGGAAAAGCTCTGACCCCATAGTTCTCCTTTTAAGTTGCTTCATATGTTTGACAACAATTTTAATTGAAAGTTCAATTGCTCCATCAACTTGCCTTGTGCATGGCCAGTTTAGAGCTGTTTGTTTGTTTTAACAAACTATTACCGCAAACATATTCAAGGATGCAGTACATTTTAATCCACTTACTTGTTGTATGTTTGCTCATCTAAAACATATCATTTTTGGTGTTCAGCTTGCAGGCTGAATGAGAGAAAACCGCCCTATTTCCCCATCCACACTTAACAGCATGATGGGGAAATCTTCCCTACCAACTATTCTGTTCTTACAACTGAAGCTTGTGGCTGTCGGAATACAAAAAAGGGACTTCATCTGATTAACTGCAGTCGCTGTTTGGTCAACAATTTTCCAACCGGCTCCTTCAATTTTTCAGTGGAAGTTTATTGAGCCAGCTGGTGTCAGAAGTTCCTCCCGCATTTAGTATTTTGAACAATTCACAGGAATCCTCGGTATTCTAACAGTGTATTGCCAGTCCACCAGAAGTCTCTGGCCCTCCTTGGAGAGGGGTGCTTGAGAAAAGAAACTCCACCAAGCACTTAAATTAATAAATTATTTTATTTAAATGGTCCTTCTGGCCAACACCTAGGCTGGCCATACACCTCAAATGAGGTCTGACATGATTTATGAAGCCTTGGGTTACTGGAATGTGCTTATGTAATCAACATACATCTTCTACTGCTGGTTTATCTAAATGAAAAGTGTAACCATTGTTCAGACTTTCAACCTTCCCCTTCTGAGAGCAGTTGGCCAGGAGGTCCTTAGACATGAGCTCTCAGGCAACTGGTGTGTCTACAGTTACTTTACTAATTCAGGGCCTTGCATGTTAAAGAATATTAGGAGAATTGTGTGGCTCCTCTTTTTCAGCAAATCATAGCTGTCGGCATTGGGAGTGGCAAAGACTTATCATGTCTCCCAATAACTAAGCTTGGGGCAATTTCTTTTTACTTAAGTTGTAGCAATCCTTACCCCTGTGTGTTTTATGTTCACATTGTTGCTCTGAGGGGCAATATTCTTGCTATATGAGGCACTTAATCTCAGTCCTAATTCAGGTTCCTGTGGACTGCAGTGCTGGCACCTCCAATTTAAATGGCAACAATTCTGGTACTTTGTTTACACCAGAGCTTAGTGTGCAGAGAAGGTGGGACATTCCACTGACATGGCTGCTTCTGGCAATGCTAGATGACTGGCTGTTAGGATAATCCACTAGTTTTTATAGCTGCTTGCCAGACACAACCAAAGACAAACAAAAGATCTGGGTACCTCTTGTGATAAACTTGCTATGAAATACTAATTTAGAGATTAGTATAAGCCATTTCAACCTTGGAAAACCTCCATTAGATTATGGTTGGTCCAAGAAAACTGGAGATACAAATAAGAACTGGCTTGTGTGACCATTTAATGAACCCTTTCTGAGGGAAATATGGGGGCTGAAAATACTGACCCTCTAAAACTTAGTTGCCTGGCTATTATTATAACCCACTGCCTCTGTTACTTTCCAAGTGTCAGATTTGGAAAAAGTTTACATGTCAGAGAAAGTCTTAGGCCTGGTTTTTATCATCCGTAATGACGTGCGTTACATTGTGCGTTGCTCTAAGGCAGCAAACCCATTTTGATTGGGTTTAAATGAACTCTGCCTTAAAGTAGCACTCTGGGTATAAAAAAAACCTAACCCTTGCAGTGGGGCTACCCCTGCACTGGTTTAAGTGCTTGCTTTCGTCTAGGGTCTAAAATAACAAAGGTTTACTAACCCGAACCTTGGTTCCCCCCTGGCTCCTAAAGTGGTCCCTGCAGCCTCCCTCTTCACTCTGGTGGTTTAATGACCCATCTAATATAGTGTATTAGACATGAGGATGCCAAGGAACCACCGGAGCGAAAGGGGAGGGAGGCTGCAGGAAATAGAGCAGGGAAGAGTTAAGGTCACATGCAAGGCCCCATATGAGCCCCATAAAGTTCTATGGAGCCCTGCTATGCAGGCGCTTCCAGCTGAGAGAGGACTACAGCGTGGGATGTAAAGCACAGGAGCCTGTGCTGTGGATCTCGGTAAGCTTGTGCAGGACAACATGTAACATGTGCGGACAGGAAGGTTGGGTTCTGTTAGGTCATTGGGGGGTGGCAAAAATGGTGCACTTTATCTGAAAGTGCACTTATTATTTAATTCCCCCCTCACCAATATATGCCTTGCTTGAAGGGCATTGCAGTAGGCACACTTCCTGTCTTGCAGGCACCCATTCTTCCTCAAGACCCACTGACTGCCTTAGACATGCCCCTGGGCTTTATGGGGTGTTGGTCACTGGATCCTTTGTGGTGCACATAACTTCCATGGAGCCTGTTTAATCTGCATGAGAGACAGTTACTGCAGAGCTTGCCCCCCGTTTACCCTGAATCCTACGACTCAGAAACTGCAGCTAACATGTACTCCCAGTTGTTCTCTTTCTCCGTGTGTGTGACTAGTGTCGTTTCTCAGGGAGTAGAAATTATTTGCTTTTTTTTTTTTTTTACTGTATTCAGTGATGATGTGTGCTGTGTTTACTTTTATAGAAGGGGAGCTCTGACTCGTGTCTTATAATTTGCAGTGTGACCTGGGAATGCAAACACATCTGATTTGTTGTCTTTTACTGTTCACATTTAGGCAAAGCTGTAAATGGGCATTACTGTGATATGCTGGCTCCACCCAACTGCTACCACAGGCCAGTATAGAGCAACATAACAAGATCAGGATGGTCCTTTTTTTTTTTTTCCTCCCGCCCTCAACATTAAAGGAGAACTATGAGGTGAGTGCTTTTCACTCACCTCATAGTTCTAGCCGACCTGTGACAATGACACTGTCACAGGTGGGCTCAGTAGATCGGGAGGTGAGCGAACACATACTGGCGTTCGCTTACCTCTCGATCCTGTCATGGCTCTCTGCCGTGACAGGGGAGGGGCTGGATTCCCCCCTCCCTGCTCCGCCAGCGCTGACTTGCGGAACGGACGGGGGGAGGGGGCGGGTACAGCTGGCTCTGCCTCCTAGATAGGCAGAGTAATCCTCAGATAAATGTTAAAATAAGGGAAGCAAGCTGCACTGGTGGGGGGTGGAAATGGGGGAGTATAAAATTACAGGTTGCCGCAGACTGCGTCGGTCTTGTCACTGCAGAAGCTAGCGACTGTTCAACAGTTAAGTGTTGGATCCTCTGTGTTTCTGTTGTTCTTTGTATAAACTATGGAGGCACAGATACCAGTTTTTTGGTATCGAGTATGAGTACCGATATTTTTTTCCCCCCGGTACTTGCCGATACCAAGTACCATTGCTGTGTGCTCCTCTTATCAGGAAGTCGGGCGGCGGATCATGACATGTTGGCCAGCTTTCTGATTGCCTGTGAAGCCGGTGTTCAAGCAAAAGGTCTGTCTTCCTGACCCGCCTCCCTGGCTTCCTGATTGGCTAGGAAGCCGGCTTAACTTGTTGCTAGGTATCGTGGCTTCCTGACCTATCAGGAAGCCGGGACGTGAGTCATGACGTGCCGCTCAGCTTCCTGATTGGTTAGGAAGCCAGGTTGCCTACCAACAAGTGAAGCATTGTGGAATGTCGTGATCCACCTCCCGGCTTCCTGATTGGCTAGGCCCCATGCTCCCTCGGCAATGCCGGTCAGCGGGAGATCTCCCTTTGACCGGAAGTTCCGATATCAGAGGTAAGTATCGGAGCATTTGGACTAGTACTTACCTAAATACTCAGTATCGGCACCAATACTAGTATGGGTATCGGTGCACCCTTATTATAAACTTAATTTGTATTTTAACTCTCTTGGCTTTTAACATTTAATATATACAGTATAATTTAATATTTTTCCCCTTTCCCTTAAGACAGGTTAATTTATCTGGGATGTACTTTTGCCCTTCAAATAGGGTTGATTAACAAACCGCTTCTGGATTTCTAATGCCATGGCTACAGGACTGAAAAATGTTGGCAATGCGTTTGGTGGTCCATCACCTTCAAAAACCTTCCAGAGCACACCTACTGTTGTAGTTGATGACGACGATGATGTCGTTTTCATTGAACCTGTTCAGGTTCCTCAGTCTGCCCCACCTCCTGCATCAAGAAGTACAGGATTTCCTCAATCTCTGAATGAAAATCACAGGGCAGAACTAAAATCACACACTTCCAGTAAAGATGCAGATTCTGGCAAGGGAACTATCAGCGAGACGATCATCATTGATGATGAGGAAGAACCTGAGCCCATTCGTGTGCCAGAGAAAAATGCTTCCAGTTTTAGTAATCCCAGACTTATGGACTCCAACAGGCCTATTGCAGATTTTGCATCGGCATCTACTTTCCCGCGAAACAAACCAAATACTGGGATTGTAAATTCTGGTATTACTACTGAGCCCGACTCTGAAATACAGATTGCAAATGTCACCACTTTAGATGCCGGATTGGGTACTGTAGGTGATGGTGCTCTTCAGAGTAATGAGGGGAGAGATATGAATCTGATGATCACTCATGTGACCTCTCTGCAGAACCCTGGCCTGGGTGAGGTGCCGAATGGATTACAAGGACCTAATTTTGGTGGCCATGTCCAAACCTATCCATCTCCACTTACCTCACAGAACAAGCCCACAACAGGACCTTATAATCCAGGACGAATAAATGTTGGTGGTGATGTTTTTCAAAATGGTGAATCTACAACTCATCATACTTCTGGTAAGTTAGAACTCAAATTTCGGCTGCTATAAAAAGCCTTTTTATGTAAATATTTGTTAAAGTGACCCTAAACTCAGGCGTTAAATCTTAAAAATGCATCAAGTACCTTAAATATTAACAAACATGTATCTCATTTGTGTGCACTCAGCTGTAGATCCTCAGATCATCTCTGAATTGGTGCCGACACTGTCCTTCCTTCTGGAGGGTGGCTACTTTTGTTCCCCATGGTCCCTGTGTGTGTTGTAAAGTAGTCACCCCTCCAAGCTCGCTCCTGTGAAGGACTACAATCTCATGTTTAGTTTACTAATTTGTATTGAGATTGTAGTCTATCATAGAGTGATCTTGGAGTGGTGACTACTACACACACAGGGACCATGGGGAATAAAAGTAGCCACCCTCCAGAAGGAAGGACAGTGTCAGCACCAATTCAGAGATGATTTGAGGATCTACAGCAGAGAGATACACAAATAAGATACATTTATGTTAATAGGGTTACTTGAGTACATTTTTACTCCTAAGTTTAGTGTCACCCTCAACTGTTAACTTTTAACTGAATGGTATCTGCTGTAAATTGCTTGCTGCTTCTGTGGCAGTAATGTTCACTGCCATCAAGGGCACCGTCAGTGCTTAACACCCTTGCCACTGCAATTTCCATTCACGGAGCTTTATGGAGAATCCATTATTTGAAGCACAAAAGGCCTGGTGTTAAATATTAAACCACATTTTCATATAGTGTGCAGTACTGTACTTTTCCAAAATCTTATTTTTCACTTTTTTTTGTTTTTAGATTCCTGATTCCATGCCATGCTATGAATACAAAATTTACAGCTGTAGTGATATCTCGGCGGCCATATGTAAAAGATTTTTATTGGATAATGTTAGTGATTGCAAAGATATACTGACGCCATCGTAATTATGTAGACCAGTAGTGGTACTTAAAAAGCTACGTTTGAGTGGGCAGCCCAGAAAAGGTGTATTAAGTACTTAGTACGATGAGATTGTTTGACTTTTCTTAGACTTTCCTGAACTGTACACTTTCGGGTAATTGAACCCTTCTGGTGGACTGCATAACAACACCTTACCCTTCTTCCAACTGAATAACTTGGCAGGGCTGACAACACTGCTTGGGATTTCACTGCAGCAAAGTTACTGTGTTGTCAGCCTTTAACAGAACATCAGGAGCACAGTGGCTTTATGGCAGATTATGAAGGATTTTCTGTACTTGCAGCATTTTTAAAGAGACAAATCATGAGTAATTATATACTTGTATTGTAGAGATGTACTGCTTTTGGTAATACATGTAATGTCCTTTTAAATTTAGTTTTAGTGCTTTGAGGGAGAAAATTAAGATAGACCAATTGTGTAGCTATTGCATACTTCCATGTGCATGCTGAAGTCTGCATGTCTGCCATTTTATCACTTCACAATGACTAGTAATTAGGTAAAGCAGTGACCAAACATGATCAGCCTGAACTCTGTTCATCCTCTTAGAGAACACGTGACTAAATGCCTGAACATTTAGGTGATGTGGCCAGCACTGGAAGAAGCCGGGGGAAGCATTTGCTCCAGGAAAAGTAAATAAGTAAATACTTCAGCTGTTCTTTCACTCTTTTATCCATCCCAGCAAAACTGCAAATTAAAGCAATATATAACAATTATAGGTCCACGTAAGAAAATGTTTTCTTTCAGTAGTAACTGCACTTGGCTCAATCTATGAAGCTATGTGATTTACCAATCGCTTAAACGAATGGCAGGATTGGAGTAGAATGTAATTTTTTCCTGTTGCTCCAGTTTGTTACCTTTTGGGCTATCGCTTTGGCAAACCACAACATGTACAGAAAAGCTGCAATACTGTAGTGTTGAGTGCTGGTAATATCAGGTTATGTTATGAGCATACTAAGGATGATTGGGATATACTTTACAGGATAAAAAGTGTATAAAGGATAAAAGTGTCAGGAGCAAAGTTGTCCACTATGCTGTGTTGAGATTTGTTTTTGTTCTTTCAGTGTTTTTAATACAGTTTTCAGTTCTGTAAATCAGATCATATATAATTAACAGGCACAGCGATGTAAGGTGCTTAGCTGAGCTGTCATTTCCTATGTTTTAGAGCACTGTGATCTGGAGTCTTATGTAGACTGGCATGTCCCTGACATTGGTAGAATACTGTACGGTGTTTAATTTTAACTGCCAAACTGAACCACTAGTTTGCACCGTTTGATTTGGTCAGTGATAGTTCAGGAAATTGGTAATTTCAAATGCATTTTCTTGTGAATGTTTATTGGGGTACATGGCAGACCTCTGGGTATAAGCCATGCCCCTACAAGCATGGATACTTGGGACACGGAACAGCCACTGTCATTCAACTTACTTGCTGTAAACCCACCCAGTCGTTTGTGTCACTACGTTGGCCTGGGCTTACAGTACTTTAGAGAGCGGCAATGACTTCTGTTGTATTGGGCACCACCAATATCAAAGCAGGAAAGAAGGGTCCTGGGATGCTGCTTTTAAGGTATGTTTAAGGAGAACTAGTAGGTGTATAGGGGTAGTATTTGGAAAAAAAATCTATGAGTTTTGCACAAATGGTTCATTAAGCCACATTGGAGATGCTTATCCTGTTTTTAACCTTTTGAAAGCTAGTTATTATGTAGAATAAATTAGGAATTCTAAAATCAAAGGAGCCAGGTTGCCAATGCTCCTTAAATAGGAACTTTACCCTTCTCTTTAAAATACCAAACACGCCTTTAGAAATTTTTAGTTATGACAATCTACAGACGCATACGTCTAGATAATTGCAGGCTTTGTATTTTTTGCTACGGGCAGATTACCAGATCTCCCTTTACTTCCTGGATCTCTGGCACATATGACTAGAACATGTGACCATGCACATCATGCCAGGGGAGGAAATGCCTTTCTCTGAGATCTCATGAGATTTCCCAGCAATGCTCTGCTGATGTAACCTTCCTAGGATGCAATGCTTTGGCACATTTCATCATTTGTGCCAGAATTGGACCAGGAAGTAGATGAACTCTATTTGTAAGTAAAGGAAAAACAAGTTTGTTTAACTAATGAATTTAAGATGATTTTAAATCCACATGCAGTGCTGGATGCTAATGTGATTTTTTTTTTTTTTAATGAAAGGTGGTAAAGGTCCACTTTAAAATTTACAGCTAGTCGCCTAAATTTTAAAGGTTCTCCCTAGTTGTTGTCAATTAAGAGTGCTCCTAAAAAAAATCCTGCTGGCTCCCGATATCCTTTTTAATATATCCACCCCGGTTTTAAGGTCGAAATGTGTTTTTTTGTTTTTATTTTATTTTTGTGTTTAACTTTAAATGTTTTCTTTTGTAGATGCCTGGCTATCTCAGTCGGCTTCATTTCCACGAAATCAGCAGTCAGGTGTGACTACCATGTCACCAGTAGCTTCTCTTCCAAAACAAGTTTTACAGCAGCCTCCACCATCACAGCAGCCTTCAAAAGCTGTTAAGGTGACATGTGCAAACTGCAAGAAGCCACTTCAGAAAGGGCAGACTGCATATCAGCGCAAAGGATCCACTCACTTGTTCTGTTCCACGTCTTGCTTATCATCTTTTTCACAGAAGCCAGCTCCAAAGAAGCTCTGCACTATGTGTAAAAAGTAAGTTAACACTTATTAATGATAGCTAGTGCAGTTAAAGGAATGTACCTATATACATGAAATGATTGCTTCTTGATCTGATTTCTTCTGATTACATCAGGAAACTCTTGTATGTTTTGGACAGCATGTACCACTGTAGATACCTCCTAACTGCTTGAGATCTGGAGGGGGGAAACTGATCCACTGTCAAGTGTCCCAGATGCTCACCTGAAATAAGGATGCATATTTTAGGCATTCTATAGAACGATGATTCTTCGACCAGATCTTGTAGGCCAACCGTCATCTCCTGCCTTTAAAGTTGTTCAGTGTTGGGTAGGGTATGCATGAACGTTCTTATGAAAAATCCTGTCAGAACATTCGATAATGCCATCAGAGAAATGTTTTTCCAAATGTCATTTGATTGTCGTATTTATTTAATGTTTCATTTTGGAACGATTAGGAAGTTGAACAAATGTTCCCAAATTGAGTTTGTTCGTTCGACGTTCTAATGGTGTATACCCTACTTTAGGCTCCACTGGAGTGCACAGCCCTGTCAGTATAACCGGCCAGTGTGCTGAGTTTACCTGTTTTAATCTGGGTGTTACTGCGCCGATTTTACAGGAGCTTAATACAAGGACTGTTTTTTTTTTGGGTCACCCTTTTAGCGTTGTGTGTTAGGACCAGATATTAATATTTAAAGGCTACAGAATTTATCTTAGGGGGTGCAGTTTACAAATCTTTAACACCAGCCTAAGGCATGCTCTCTAAAATTCATAAAGAGCATCGTAGGCACTCATTAGAAATATCTCCCGTCCATGCGACAGATTCATGTAACTGCAAATAAGTTCTATATGAATCTGGAATTGCCTCAGAGCTAATTTTGTCTGCAACACAGTTTACTCCAACATGGAAGGGGTTTATTTACCTCCATCTTTTTTTGCCAGCTGAAAGCGGCAGCAGCCGTTCCTCAAGGGTAAGTGTAAAGCTGCACATACAGTACTTTGCAAAAGTTTTAGGCAGGTGTGAAAAAATGCTGCAAAGTAAGAATGCTTTCAGAAGTTAGGCTGGGTTCACACCTTGGCGTATTGAATATGCGCGACCATCACGCGATTCCGAAGGCTACTTGGCTGTATCCCAATGGAAAACGCCCTACAAAACGGCCCAAAGTAGTACCTGGACCTTTTCAGGCGTGGGCCGTTTTGTAGGGTTGTTAGGGACGGGCGGAAATACGGCAAGGTGGGAACGAGACCATTGACTACAATGCAATGTATATTTTTGACCGTTTTCTAGAGCGTTCGTCGAGCGTAGAACGCGCTACAAAACGGTCAGGTGTGAACGAGGGCTAAAATGGTTAATAGTTTTTATTATTTAACAAAATGGAAAGTAAATGAGCAGAAGAGAAATCCAAATCAATATTTAGTGTGACCGCCCTTTGCCTTCAAAACAGCATCAATTCTTCTAGGTACACTTGCACATAGTTTTTGAAGGAACTCGGCAAGTAGGTTGTTCCAGACCTTCTCTCTTCATGTAATCCCAGACAGACCCTATATTGAGATCAGGGCTCTGTGGGGGCCAAACCATCACTTCCAGGACTCCGTGTTCTTCTTTACGCTGAAGATAGTTTTTAATTACATTGTATGTTTGAGGTCGTTGTCCTGCTGCAGAATAAATTTGGGACCACTCACACGCCTCCCTGATGATCTCCCGCGATTATAGTACGATAATCTGCAGGTGTATGGGGACCTTTACAAATACAAAGTACAGGTGCAGTAATGTTAACCCAGATCTTGTTGAATCACTCTTTACAACATTACTACATCAGCCAAACATGACAGTAGGTCAGAAATCATTCTTGGGATATTTTGACCTCAGTTCTGTTTTAGCTGATAGATTTCAGATGTGAGAGAAGATTTGGTGCCCAGAAAAGTAGCTGCACAGAGAGTGAGTTTGTGTAGACCATGAACATCATGACAATAAATATTGTAGTTTTCATTTTCTTTGTTGATGCCTATTTACTTTAAGATCACTTTGCTCATCCTTGTCTTGTACAAAGTATGCTTGTTAAAATGATTTTGTTTTTAATGTTTTCAGAGATATTACAACAATGAAAGGGACAATAGTTGCTCAAGTTGATTCAAGTGAATCCTTCCAGGAATTTTGTAGTACCTATTGTTTATCGGTTTATGAGGACAAGCAGAATTCTGCCAAAAATCAAAACAAATCAAGATGCACTATATGTGGCAAATTAACAGAGGTATACCTTATTTTCATTAGCAAATATTGTGTGTGTGTGTGTGTGTGTGTGTGTGTGTGTGTGTGTGTGTGTGTACGTACACCTTGGTTTACAACTGTTCAATTTGCACTGATTCAAAATGGCACCCTTTTCTGGGAGTGTTGTACATTGAAACCAAATATATATAATGTATGTCAATGGGAAGTGAGGGAGTTAGGTTCCAGGCCTCTCTCAAAACAAGGACTGGTTCTAAATAGAAACTGGTGTAAACTGAAACCCAGTAGATAATGTAAGTCAGTGGAAAGTGAGGAAGATAGGTTTCAAGCCTCTCTCATTGACATAAGTAACATAATACAGGCATTCATTGGTCTCTCACCCGTATTCTGTCCTGGGCATACACATCACTCCTCACTATCCATACCACCAGTAAGATGGTCCTTCACTACACAGAGCTTTCTAGCCAGTTTTAGACCGCCATCGTATGTGCTTTAACCAATCAGTGACCAATCTGCTTCAAATGTGCATTATCCTCTCGGCGATCAGCCACCATGAATGATGTTAACCCCTCAGTTCCCCAGGTTGTAAACCTTAACCCCTTAATGACCTGTCTGCTGTGCATGTGATATGTTTTAAGAGCATGTGCATCACCCCCTAAGTGATATTCAGTGTGTGCATTAATTCCTCCACCATTCAAAAGTGTGGCAAAGACCATATTTAATGATTTCATTTCAAATTATGTAAAGATCAGTGACCACTAGGGTTGCACAGATACGTTTCGAGTACCAGTGCAGATACTTGGCATTTTCATGAGAACTACAGGGGTTGCAGCTGAGACCTGGCTCTGGCGCTCCACCATTGTCCTGAAATCATTAGTCTGTATTGTTTTTTAGAAAAACCGTCACATGACAATAAACAAAAATGTATCAGTACTCGTACTTGTAAGTACTCGGCAAGTACCAGTACTCGCAAAACTGGTATCTGTGCAACCCCTTTATTTATAAAAACAAAATCGTACATTAAAACAGTGATGTACAAATCCCGGGAGCTCCGCGTGCTCCTTACAAATGACAACTGCCTCCTAATTTTTGAATTTTTTTCTAGTCTTCGAGCTCAAAAGTATCGGTACATGTACGAGTACTTGTACCGAGTACTGTACTTGGTATCTGTGCAACCCTAGTGACCACCATATGTAAGTCAAATATTAACTGTTCTTCCAGCTGTCATATTTTCTCTCCTGCATATCACACACCATATATTACGAGGAGTGTGTGGAAGGAGCGTTGCCTGTATAGGAGGCTAGCAACACTTGTAATGAAAAGGTGGAAGTACAGACAAATTATTAAACTACCAAAGCATTCCCCTCCAGCACTGCTCTCCTCCCTCACTGGCGCTTCCATCTTCCTCCCTGTCTTCTGGGTTTCAGGCACTTGATTGGCTGGGCCCCGATGACAAATGTCCCGCTGATGTGCATGGGAGTTACTTGTGCCAGGTCTGTGCGCTGAGCTTTGCATGCGCAGCTCAGTGTACAGAACAAAATGAGAGCCCACCAATCACACTTTTTTTGTTACATCTCCAATAAAGCAGAAGTAAAGCTTCATAAGAAGCATTACTTCTGCTTTATTGGAGATGTAATCCGTTCACTTATATAAATCTTGTCATGCTCATTGGCTTGAGACATTGGGAGTAGGTTTACTTTACTATATACCGTAGTAACTTTTCCTTTCTCTATATATAGGTGTCTGTGGTTAATTGTTTTGTCTATTAGAAAACCTCTCTTTTGGTCAAAGCAGCCTCATATAGTGCCAAGTTTTCTGCACTCACCAGTTAGCCATGCCCAAATTGATTGTTAAATCTGATTGGCAGTGAGCAAATAACTCTTCATTGTCATATTAGACGTTGTGTAAAAAGGTGTTACTTCGCCTGCTCTACATTCCCTTAGTAGTAAACCGTGTGGAGCCCTCTGCAGTCTGAATAGCATTGATCATTTAAGGCCAGCGACCAGTTGGATGGAGCCAGGCTGAAACTGATGCTACAGGCTGAAACTGATGCTACACACACGAGGCACTACTTATGACCAGAGAGCTGTTAATAGTTTGATATCTTTTTATAGAAATGCTTATTTGTTTTTGTTTACTTAAAGCGGACCTTTACAGTTAAAAATCAAATTCTACTAATGCATCTCTCTATGTGTAATGATTAATAATAACATAGACATGTCAGGTGTAAAATGCTGTGATTTTGAAATACTTACACTTGCAGAACATTCACTTCCTGTTTTGAAAGTGCAAAGTTTGCCAAAGCAATGCACACTGGGATTGTCTCGTCATCAGCAGAGCATTGCTGGGAAATCATCTGTAATCTCACGAGATCTCAGGGAAAGGCATTTTCCTCCCCTGAGATGACGTGCACAGTCACATGCCCTAGTAATCTGACCTTAGGCTCCATTCACACAGGAGTAGTTGTGCGCGTGTATTAGGCCGGCCAAATACACACGGGGCCGCTCTTAACATAAAACAAAATTGCACTTTAATGTGCATTGTTAAGACTTTTGCACACGGTACAGAACCACGCAGCTTACAAAATAGTACGAGCACGATGATATGGCGGATTCAGCTATATAATGGCCACAAACGAGCAGAATCCGTGCAGATTAAAAATAACGTTTTCGTCCCGCGAGGTCTTCCGTGTAGGAAACGCAAACACTATATCTGTCAGAAAACTGGGGCAGAAAAGAGAAATAAGGTATGCAAAGCCTGCAATTATCTAGAAGTATCTGTTTGTAGAGTGTCATTATAAAGATCTGGGTAAAGGTCCGCTTTAATGTGACAATGGACTCGTGGAAGAACACTGGGTTTTCTCAAGGGTACAGCTGGTCATGGGGGCATGATCATAATAATTATTGAGAACATATGTCCAAAACCACAATTTCCTTGAAGTCCTGAGTTTTGTGAAACTTTCTAATGTCTCCTCTTTCTTTTCAGATTCGCCATGAAGTTAGCTTTAAAAACATGACTCATAAATTGTGCAGTGATCACTGCTTCAATCGCTATAGGATGGCCAACGGTCTGATCATGAATTGTTGCGAACACTGTGGAGAATACCTACCAAGCAAAGGCGCCGGAAGCAATGTTCTCATGATAGATGGCCAGTGGAAGAGGTTCTGCAGCCCAGCCTGCCTCAGTGATTTTAAGCTGGTAAACTTTTCAAGTTGTCCCAAAATGTTCTAAATGGAAGGAAGGAAAATTCCTCAATGTCATAGTCTGCACACACATCTATGCAATTGTACCAGGCACTTGTCCTACTGAACAAGTCAAACAATGGGGGAGGGCTATTGAACTGATTTGGGGGACATTGGCATTCTCTTCAACACCTGATTAATCTTGACCTCGGACAAGTTTATCTTTCTTGGTTTTTTTCCTGCATGTCTGAGGTTGTGACTACATAACATAGAGATGAGTGCGTAGCAAGCACAAAGCGTTTGCTGTTTTCCTTTTGGCTAAGGTGTTTTTACAGTAATATCTTATGTCACTTGTCATAGTTGGACTTAGTAATGACAATTGTGTTCATAAAATCCTGCCCATTAATAATCTTAAAAAAGGTTTGTGTCAGGAAAAACATAAGATTTTAACTTTTATCGGTTAAATGTTTAAGAAACGCTACTGAGTTTTAGAAGCGATACAAAGCGGTGTGTAAAGTCCAGTAAAAATACACATCAGTTAGATGCGCAGAAGACAAGCTGGACATGCATTGATGGATCTGATGGTAAGCAAACAATTGTATCATCTGATGATCACCCTGCATGTGTCTCCACAATGTAGGGAGTCAGATGAGCTATTTCTGGGCGCACCGTGTTCTCTGTTGATTTTTGCTTTATTTAATTGCAATGCTGATGCTGGCGTCCTCGGGTAAATCTGAGAGACTTCTCTATACAGAGAAACCAGCATGATTATACTGAAAATGTACCGTACCCTTTACGGTCCATACTTAAATTCAGTGGGGATGTATTTATTAAAAAAACCCAGAGCCATTTGCCCATCGAAACTGCATGTACACTTTGTTCTGTAAGAATGGAGGCAAAAATGAATGTTAGTTTTTCTTTCCAGGTTGAATGCAATATCAATAAAATACCTTTAGTATGGTTGAGGAGCATACTACTTTTCTTGGGCTCCTCAGTGCTCCATCTAGTGGCTGTAATGCGATATTTCGCTGATTTTATTTTCGACCTGTAAAGAAAATGTGCGCATAACAGTTTTTTTGTCTCCATTTGCACATAACAGATGTACATGTAGTTTCACCAGACAGCTCTGTGAATTTTTTATAAATACACCTCGAAGTTCTCAGGAATCCAGTAACTTGATGTCGGAGCTCCCTTCCAGATTGCTCAATGACTTCTCTGTGAAAGTATTTGTGCCTTAGACTGCAATGTTATTCCCCTGTTAGTCTTCTGTTGTATTGACCCCGCAGGAAGTAAACCCAGGCATAGAGGAGTATGCTAACTTCTCATATATTAATTTTTACAGACACTGCTGGGAGAATTGCAACGCTTTGCCCTTTTTATGTTTATTTTAAGGAATATTTTGGCAGCTTTTTTTTCTTGCATATCTCTTGTAGACGAGCACATTTACTCATACTCTGTTCTGCTACTGTTTTTGTATAGCCACCTTTTAGCCATTCCAAAAAGATTTTTACATAAACATGCATGTTGGGGTAAATTGTGCCTGTTTATGGTTGGGAGTGGGGCACCAAAAGATATCCCTGGTCAGTGCCTTGATGTCTTGGGGAAACGCCTGGTAGAAATGAATAGATGTAGACATGAGTGATTGCAGGAACTGGCGTCTGCTTGTTGAGCATGGAGGGTCCAGCTGCACCCTGCACTTTTCTCTTGCCTGTTTTTTGATAATATGCAGGCGTTAAAGTACCTGATGCAATTTAATTAAATCATATGGTAATACAGTAAATATTGTTCCTATACCATAAGCACATTTTGTTTTGCAAAATAGCACTGTTTACTACTTTTTTTTTAGTTTCCTTTTGCGGCCTTGTGACTGCAAAGCCTACGGTCTTGCCGTCCTTCATATCAGGGGAGGTATACAACTTTTTAAAGCCGGCGGGTACATTCTTTAGTCGTACATAATGGGGAAGTAGGTTTCCCCCAGTGTACGCTGCATTTCATATGGCTGACGCTACATTTCAGCTGATGTCTTGACAGCGAAGCTTCTTCTGGGAGCCGCTGTCAATCAGTTGAACGAGGGGCGTGGGTCTAACCTTACCATGCAAGGTACAGGCACTCGGCACGTGGGTACTCTGTTCTGTATATAATCTGCTTCCATGCTTGGTGTGGCCAGAATGAAGAATAGAAAAGGGGGGACTGGTAGGATGGCCAGGTATTTGGGAGAATTTGAAATCTAAATGAAACAAGGGTAACATACACTTTAATCTTGTTGGTTTGGTGCCATCTGTTGATAAACGTTGTGTACACGGCACCAAGTGTTTGTGTGAGGTTAAAGCTTTGGTGAAATCAAATGCTAAAAAAACCTTTACCACCCCCTAAACCACATCCAAAATCTTGGTACTTCTCTATTGGGGGGGATATTTTTTCCTTTTACTTATAAGCATAGCTTTTTAGTGTTCTAAATTGCTATTTGATATGGTTTGCTGGAGTTAGAATAGAATGTAAATGTTTAATATATTGGAAGAGGTTCCAGAGTCATTTATTTAATAATTCTTTGTTTTTGCTTCTGCTTTAAGGCACATGTTTATATTTACTGTTTATTTAAGAAGGAACTATACCCCTGTTTTACTATTACACAATGGGTATGTAGACTGATGCCTGTTAGTATTTATTAGTAGATGTTTTAGTTGTTCTATGTAACTGTATTAGCTTTAATAATGCCTTTTATATGCACCCAGGGACCAGAAAATTGAAACTCCTTTTCAGCATTTTCTGACCACCTTTGGCTGTGTGTTTCTGAGTAGTGCTTCTACAAGGGTCCTGTGTTGTTCAACCCAGTGAACTGACTGAACAATGGACAACAATCCAAGGTTTATGGATAGCTGCTTCATTCTAAAAGTGCAACACATTTTGTTTCTTACAGAATCTGGAGCAGTTGACCGTAGTAACCAATCGGCTTCACTTTATTCAGTTAAGCTTTGAAAATGAAAGATAGAAGCTGATTGGTCGCCATGGGCAATTGCTCCAGATTCTGTCTGCTCCAGTCTTGATTAATCCCCCTTACTGTATTTCCAGTCAGACAGGCTCTGTTCTCTAGCAAATTATTTGGTTGGTTTACTATGTTAAAAGATGTACCCTGGTCAGTTGGTGTTATTCTCCATACACCAAAGAGTATGATTTTAACAATGGCCATTGTACCTCATATTTGTTAGTGTCTCATTTTTTTTATTTAGGGATTTATTTTTTTTCACCTAGGATGGTAATAAAATTTTAACTTTCACAGTACGCTCGTAAGACATATGTACAAACTTTGCTGCTATTAATAAAAAAAAAATGTCCCTTAGAACTCCAGGATTTATTTTTATTTTTTTAATTAACCCTTGCAGTGGGACTACCTCTGCACTGCAAGGGTTACCTGCTTGTTTATGTTAAACCCCCCCCCCCCCAATAGATATAATCACCCTATGCTCTGAGCCGGCTTCTTCTTAGACTGGTCCCTGGAATGTGTCTAAGGTCCCATAAATCATCAACGTGTACAGACGTGAGGACGCTGAGTAACATTCCAATGTGCTGCGGCGGAGAATACAGCCTGGAGGGAGCACTGTGACAGCTGGCCGGCACAAAGCTTTGGGTAAGTATATCTTTGTTATTTTGCAGGTGTAGGTGCAGTGCCGGTGTAGCCTTACTGCAAGGGTTAATTAGAAATTTCCTGGAATTCTGCTTTTAAGATATCCCTTTTATTTTGAAAAATAATTCAATGTTCTTATCAATGAAACATAGGGGGAGGTGAGTGTGTAAAGTACTCACTCTGTTTTCCTAATTTAGTGCCTGCTTGCCCATGGGCGAAAATCACTTTCAGGGCATACAGACAGCTTTTGCATTTTCTCTGTACTATGTTAGTCCCACACAAGTCTGCGTATAGTGTGAACTTGGTCACACTTTAGGGTATAAATATTTGTAGAACTCCAGGAAGATCACAACATTTCTGGGGTGGGTTGAGTGGATTGGGTGCTTGTAAATAACCATAAAGCATACAGATAACCATAATTCATACTATACTCATACAGAGATCTTCAGATGCTGAGTTCAGTTTCTATAAGGTTTGTCTATAAGGTATTACCTAAAAGAGCCGCAGAGGGGGAGGAAACAAATCTGAACTCTGCAGCTAAACATCTCTGAATTGAGGGTAGAAAGGTAAGACACATTTTGCCATTATCGCATACATCTTGTTAACCATCTATAAAGGGTATCTAAACCTAAAAACTAGGGATGCACCGATACCGGTTTTTCGGTATTGAGTAAGAGTACCGTTATTTATATTTCGGTACTCGCCGATACCGGTACTTCCAGTAGCATGGAGCCGGCTTCCCGGGCAATCGCGAAGCCGGGCAGCGAGTACATGGCGCCCTGCTTGATTGGCCATGAAGCCGGGTCCATGCTGTTTGGCTGGCTCGATGCTGATTGGCCGAGAAGCCGGCTTCCTGGCCAATCAGGGAGGCGGGTCATTACCTGCAGCTGACTTTGTGCTTGGCCGGGAAGCCGGCTATATGTTCCGTCACGGCACTGCCGGTCAGAGGAAATATCCCTCTGACCAGAAGTTCCAGCATCGGGGGTAAATATCAGAGCATTTTGGCAAGTACAAGTGGTATGCACCATCCCTACTAAAAACAAAAATATAATTTATTTCAGCTCACCAGTGATTAGATTTGGTGGCTGCATTACTTTACATTATTCAGGCTAAGAACATCAGCAAGTACAGAAAATACCAATTGCTCCTTCTTACCTCCTCTTAGATGAACTGGAAGCAAAAAAGAATGTTCACTTACTTTTGAAAGCAAATAATTCACCTACCCTCATGTAAAGGGAATGGAGCAGAAGACATTCTTTTAAATAGTCTGGGTGACAACCATCAATATCCATAGATACTGTGGAGTGAGCGTAGCCACCCTAGGACAGGGGAGGTGAGGTGTTCTTAGGATTACCAGGTGAAAATGAAAGCAAATGCAGCCAGCTCATACTGAT